TATATAATATATAATAAAAGATAAAGAACATACCATAAAGTAGAACCCCTTTGAGTGTCATCTTATGACAATAATGCAATGTTGAGTCACAAACACTAATAATTGGTGATAGTAACAATAAAAATGGTTACTTCTCTTGTTATCTATAATCATTGTTTTATGCAGTGTTTTAAACTGCTTCATGTTCTTTTATTGCTTCAGCTTGTTTCAAAGCTTCACCTTGTTTGAGTTCATTTCTGAAAAGAACAACTTCTAAATCTGTCTTCATGTGTTTTAATCATAGTAATTATATTCTGACTTTTTATTTAAAAAAAGAAAAAGAAAATTAAAGTGCAACATGAAGATGGTCATTTCCTCCTGCAGATTCCCTGTGCTACRCTACATGAGGTCATTGATGCCTTGGTGGAGAGAACAGCAGGCACTCTGCAGCCTTTCCTGTTRGAGGAGCCGTATGAGGAAAACATCAGTGAGATGAAACAAAAACATACAATTGTTTGTTTGTTTTTTTGTGCTTATTTCTCGTCTTATAAGAAGGAACTAATCTAAGTGTGTTTCTATTATCAGCATACGTTTCTGCTAATGATGAAAATGGGGAGCGGATTCTTCACACTGCCCCGACCAGCCCCCTCCCGAAGGCCCCCGCTCTGCCTCCAAAACAAGGTTCATCTCCGTGAGTAAAACAGCACGCAGGCTGTGACAGACAGCAGGAAATAATCWCCGCTTCTGTTCTCACGCAGATCGTTGGTGCAGTAGCCCTCTGTCCAGGTCTCCCGTCTCGGACCGTCGCAGCCGGACCGCCTCGCCCGTGCCGGCCTCGCCCACCAACCCCATGAAGCGTCTCGTCCTGTCTCCTTCGCCTCTCTCACAGAGTAAGAGCTGAAGGGTGTGCCGGCTGACTCGGCAGCTGTGATTTTAGCTCTAAGTTTGTTTGGTTGTCTGTTGTCTCTCCACAGCGCTCAATGAGGAACTGAAAAAGACACTGGAGAAAAGGCGAACCAGCCAGGAGTGACGWCGGGGCGAACCTTCCCGTTAGAACACCCTCAGTCTCTGGTGTTCAGCTTCTGTGCCTTCTCGGCTGGAAAACGAGTCAAAACCACCACTTTGTCTTACAGGGAGGGGAAAAGTGTTGTGTGCCAATGATGAACTTGATGTGGCTAAACGGACACTGATGCCTTGGTGGAGAAATGACCTACTTGTGCTCTGTCCACTTGCACAACGAAACCCAGTCACTGAGAATCAGTACAGCTGAACACGTGACAGACTACAAACTGAACCCAATGTTTTCCTGTCTGAGCCCAACTCTATAGGTGCTGACCTGCTGACCTCTCTGCTACAACACTGGAAACTAAATGATCTAGTACACCAGAGCAACAAGCTGCTGTCTGTGATAGTCTGTGAAAGTGAAACGGACAAGCTCAGAATTTCCTTTCTTTTATCCCAYTACAAAACTGAGAGAGGAAATACTGGATGAGCTGGACAGAAACTGAAAACCGCACAATGTTCGCCTACTGCCCTGAGAGCCACAGTTTACGTGACTGATAAACAACCGTCAACACGTTGTYGGCTCGACGACTGACAGCTCTACTGTAACTGTATGCATATTTTACCTGGTTTCGTGCTCTCTAATGTTGTAAATGTGTTTTGCGGTGCTAAGACTTTCCATTGTTCTCTACGCAGGAGGATTAGGGTCACAAGGCAAAAAAAGAATCCTGAGTTCTGATTTTAATCTCAGAATTCTGAATTTTTTCTCAGAATTGGAAAAAAAAAATCAGAATTCAGAGAAAATATCTCTTCCTGAGTTTTGACTTTAATGCCAGAATCCTGAGAAAATAGTCAGATTTATTTATTATTGTTATTTTTTTGCTCTGTGGCCCTAATCTTCTACTGTAGCTCTTAGACAGAAAGAAAGAAAGAAAGAAAGAAAGAAAGAAAGAAAGAANGAAAGAAAGAAAGAAAGAAAGAAAGAAAGAAAGAAAGAAAGAAAGAAAGAAAGAAAGAAAGAAAGAAAGAAAGAAAGAAAGAAAGAAAGAAATCTTCCATCTGTGAGGGCGCCCTCTAGTGGAAAAGTTGTAAATGGCAACAACAGAAGTTTCATCAGCACACTGAGAAAGAACAAGTGCCTGATGGTTTTTTTAATGTTGCAAAGTGAACCTGACTTTTTGACAGTGTTATACCTTGTATCTTTACTTTATTTACCTGAATTCAGACCTGAAGGTGCTCAAACTCATATCTGACAGTTCTGTCTCCTGCTCTGGTAGGCTATCAAACTGTGAACAACTGACTCACGTGTGTCTTTTTTTTCTCCCACAATGAACAGTTTACAGAATGTTTGTATATAATATGTTGTCTTCTTGGTTACCTCCAAAAGTATATGTTTGATAAATATTGAAGGCATTAAATTGTTTTGCATGGTTTGTTGTGTGTTAATTGTGAACTGGTGACTTCTTATTCTAAAAATTAAAAGAAACATTTATTTATAACAGTTTTCACTCCATCACTTCTCTTCAACTCTCCTTTTAACAACACACAATTTTTAGTATTTTGGAGCTCTGGGAACTGCAGAACACTGAAAATGAAATGTTTATTTTCTGGCTGGGGGCACAAAAAAAAAGGCAAAACGTATTTTCTTTCTTTGCCTTTTTTTCCCAGATTTTGTAGATATTTTAATTGAGCAAATTATAATGAAAATGTTTTTACTCTCTTTCACCACATGGTCAAAAGAAAATAAGCATCATCTTTCACAAAGACTATAACTTCTCTGTAAATACTTTTACATAAAATCATGTTTAATTAACAGGTAAGTATTTGGTAATTATAGGTACCTCAGTACCTGGGTACTTATTTATATAATACTACCATTGTTTATTATTTTATTTTATTTTTTAGTTGTACTTTATTTATTAACACTTGTTTTTTTTTACTTGAATTAATTTATAAAAATGCCTGTCTAACTCAGTGTTTCCCAAAGTTGGGGTCGGGACCCAAAGTGGGGTCCTAAAACATCAAGGTGGGGTCCTGAAAAGATTTTCTGAATTAATTACAGTTTTGCCTTAGTTGTTACAAAGGAGTGAGGTTGGTATGTTTAAAATGGATGAATGTAGTATAAAAATATTGTTACTATGCCCATGTTTAGTTGAACTGATACAAATGTTTATCATCCAAAAATAGTTGTGGGCACAGGTCTCTGCTACTGTTATTTTGTGGGTCAAAAGCTGAAAAGTTTGGGAACCACTGCACTTTGGTTCCCAAAGTTGGGCTTGGGACCCAATTATGGGTATGTTTATCATCCAAAAATAGTTGTGGGCACAGGTCTCTGCTACTGTTATTTTGTGGGTCAAAAGCTGAAAAGTTTGGGAACCACTGCGCTTTGGTTGGGCTTGGGACCCAATTATGGGT